AAAGTTACAAACGTGTGCGAAAAAAATTATAAGACAAAATAATCATCCTATTTTTGTTAAAAAAAATATTAAAGATTTCTTAGAGTTAAAAATCGTTAATGCTATGATTGATTATGCTTTTACGAACGAGATGCTATGTTTGAACATATAAAAAACCAAGAAATTTTCAATAATCACAAGATACAGCTGATAAAGTGTATCATTGGAGTCTATCTTAAAATATGCCTATATCACAAAGCAAAATTCTTAAATGACGCTGAGAAAAAGCAATACAGACGCCATAAATATTAAAAAATGATACATTTTCATCATCAATAAATTATTTATAAGTATTTTTAATTTCCATTTTAATTTCATTTTAATTATCTATAAGTATTTATCATTAAGTTTCTTGTGATAATTACTATATATCTCATAATTACTATAATTACGGTATATAATTATACTCTTTATAATTCAAATCATATTCTGTTTAATTCAACATACATAGATTATTATATCTTATCAAGCGATTTTTCGATATAACATCAATCTTTTCCCTTTAAAATACAGTTTGCACTTATTTTATGTTTTATAAAGTAAATTAAAAAGAACTCGCGGTGATAACACTGCGCCTCACTTCCCAAGCAGAATAACAAGTCATTATAATTTCAAAATGATGTCAATATGACTCCAAAATGATCATTAAAAGTCATTTTTCAATCATTTTCAATTCATTTTAATGTCATTTCGACGTTACCGTACAGATGTCTATCATCTGTGCGTTACTATGACTTGTTGTTCTGCTTGGATTGGTACATGCGCAGAAAGAGAAAAAGTCATCGAGCAGGACAGAAGTACATCTTCTGTCTCTCAGTTGCTCACTTTCCACTCACTGCTTGGATAGGTTATTCCCAAGAAGACTAGAACTAAGGAGGATCAACTCGCGTGGTGAGGGTAAGTCAGAAAACGTCCGCGGCTATTCACACGATGTGCAGCGGCACTGCGCATTGTGTGAAAGTTCGATATAAGAGCGACAAAGTGACGATTATAGAACGATAGAGCGACAACTATATAGAGCGACAGAGAGGACTAATGAAGCGCAAGAGTGGGGGAAGTTACCCGTCGCCACTTTTTGCCTCACCCCCACTACCGCTATTGGCACGAGTTGATCCTCCTTAGTTCTAGTCTTCTTGGTTATTCCTATTCCAGTACTAAAAGTTCTATGGCGGCCACGCGCGAATCACCGACTCCTTCCATTGTCCGACCAATCGCCGCTCTAACTTTTAAGCGCCGCGTGTGAAACATAATCTTAAGTCCAAGTATAATCTTCTTCTATTCTAATTCCTAAATCTAGAAGCATCATTTCTGAGTTTTAATCTAGAAGTACCAATTCAATTTCTAAATCTAATATTAATCGTAAGTTCGTAGTTTTCTAATTAACTTAGAAGTAAATCTGTTCTCGCACAGAATTACTTATCAACCCACTAATTAATGTACCAATTGTTATTAAATATACATTTAATTGATTAATTTCGAGTGTGTGCTTTACGGATAACCCTGCCTTCTCACTAACACTTAATACTAATAATATAACCACCGTTAAAACATTAACGAAAAGTGATCGTTTGTGCGAGAGAGCAGCCTATCAACACGGCCAAGTCAACAGGCGAATTCATCCAGGATGCAGCAGAAGCCTTGGTACATCGACCACCCCCTTTTTCTGGCATTTGAGAATACCGCAGAAATCCAACAGAGTGTTTTAAGGTAATCAGTTTTCCTACACACTGCTAACAGAAATTCACAGTGACTGGATCGCGCAAAGCATATGCCCTGTATTCCCGCGTTCGCGCGCTTCATTCGACGCTCGACTCCTAGCGGTCAACCCGTATGTCGCGTGGGTGCGTAGCGGTTGTTGCGCATCCGCCTTGTTCCACCAACACAAGGAGAGCGGAATAATCAAAGGTACCGAGTGCTATACCGCGCTACCAACTCTTGAAAAGGAGAATTATTACGGGGTTTTACGCCATTATATCCATTTGGGTTACCCCGAATGATTCGAGACTTGCAACGCGTGCTCTTTAATATGACGCTTCGCGCGGTTGTGGCTTGCTCCGATTGTCCCGGAGTATTGGAGAGATTCCTTGTGTTCTTGGAAGCGACGGAGGAACGACCATGAAACGACTCCGAATCCACGATAATCGCTATATCCAGCGTTCGCATCTAGCCAACCAATAATTTGGACAACCTCGGGCGCGGTCCCCTCCAACGCGCGAAATCGCGAGTTTCGCATCTCACTCATAGTTTCAGGGTAATTCGAAACCGAGGATTGGCCGAACCACCCTGAGACGTAACAAAACACAGTTTCTGATAGGTTAAAATTTTTGTTTCCTGTTCCCTATTTCTTTCATTGTGCGCAGCCCCTAAAATAGCTTTTCCAGAGTAACACGTTATTGTGTTGCATTTTTAATATTTGTGCAAATTTCTGCAAAAATTATGTGTTTTACGATAAGTATATGTGTATAATTATATGTATTTTATAATAAGCATATGTGTATAATTATATGTGTTTTATGATAATATATGTGTATAATTATACAGGGTGGACCAAAAGTCTACACCCAAATATCTCATAAACGATGCATTTTAGAAAAAAGTTTCAGACAAAAGTTGTAAGGCTTAAAAAAACGCATTCAACAATAGTAGTTATTTAACCTAGGATGTAGGTTATGTCAAGACGTTTTTAAAACACATATTATAAACTCTTTTCCGATGAGAACTCCATGAGTCCTCAAAGTGCGTGCGCGCAACAAACACACACACGTGTAACGGAGAGGGTTTGTCAAAAAATACTGGGGAAGTGACAAACCCTAGGGTCGTGATCTGCGTTACACACACACAAGAGACGTAAATCCAACCGAGCAACTTCCATGCGGTACATCTTGGATAACTAAAGTTTTCTTTCTCTGGCAGAAGTGAGGTACAAAGAGGTTGTATACATAGAGTAGGGAAGGCATAGGGGTCTCTGTAAGTGGAAATGTTAGACAATAGAAAAGGAAAGAAAACGGGAGAGTTAGAGATCCTCAAGTAAGAGATGCGCTCGAGCATTTGCAAGAACATGGCGGCCTCCACGAACATATGACACATAATGGAGGTCGCCATGTTCTTGCAAATGCTCTAATGCCCGTATTCATAGTCAAGCCTTATATTTAAGGCTTTCTTAAATTTATCTTCAGATACTCTACGAATTATTTCATTGGCTACTGAGCATCTAAAGATAAATTTAAGGAAGCCTTAAGTATAAGACTATGAATACGGGCAGAAGTTCGCGCATCTCTTACTTGAGGATCTCTAGGGAAAGCCATCTTTATCTTTGTCTAATATGTTGCGCGCGCATTGAAGCTTTGGGAGCTGAGTGGGACGGCATCGATATACACTACTCAACACAAAATAGGGAACACTTTCGAATACGCTTAAAATTGCGCAATATTCAGAACACCATAACTCGGTGAAAAATCGTCGCAGAAAATAAATCGAAAAAGCATTTTAAAGCTTGAAATCTCTACTTTTCAAATCGGTAATCTATATTTCAATTTGATCGATCCTTCATGGAGCTACGCGGATACAAAATGGATACCATCAAATTTTAAAATTTTGATCAAATTTTACAAAGGTCTGTGGCGTGTCTAAAAATTGTACAATAATGCGGTTTACAGCATTCGTAAGAGAGTATCTCTACCTTTAATTTGTTTTTTTATAGATCGTTCTACGATTTTTTTTCACCGAGTTATTGAACGTTGAAGTAAAAATGTCATTTTTGCTTTATGAGATATTTGGGTGTATCCAGACTTTTGGTCCTGTATGTATTTTACAATGACTTGGAAATAACATCTGTTCCTATAATTTACTGATATGTTTATTTATCGTGCATTTGTAATGAAATTTATTGTTATACATATCATATCATTTTAATCAAATTTATACTAAATATTCTAAGTATATTTTATTTATGACCAATTTTATCTCATGATATTTTTTTGTTAATTGTATTGATAGTATCTTCATTTCATTCTTATTTGAAATTTATCGATAGAGAAGAAAAGATGTTTAAATACATGAATACACTGTCGCAAAGTTGTCCTTAATTTATCTCATTGTTTCTAATAAAAGAATCTCACAAGGAACATCTCTGAAATGTCTGATTTTGATAAGCCTTTAATGGCTTATGGACACTTCATCTTCTACCATTTCATCAAAATCAAGTGGCATTTTATTTTTACAAAAGAAAAAAGATTTTAAATGAAACGTTAATCGTTTAGCATTGTATACTAGAAGAGTGTTAACAAAAACTAAATTGGAATTTATATCTATAACGTTGCAAATAGCGATGTGGACGAAGAAGTGTCGCAGACAAGTGTCCCTACGGCACATAAAAGAATATAAACCAAAAAAAATGTTTTGAAGGATAAATTCTAGACGGTAAAGTGTCATGGGCAAAGAAATGTATTAGACGGTAAAATGTCTTACGAAAGTGTTGACGATGAAATGTCAAACGATGAAATGGTAGAAGATGAAGTGTCCATAAACCGCCTTTAACACGTTGTTTAGATCAAAATAAAGGACATGTTCTTATACGTGCCCGCTTTCATTTTTAAGAGATAAAACATCCTTTGAAAAATACTTTTAAAAGTGAAAACGGATACAAAAAATATGTCTGTTATTTTGGTCTAGACAACATATTAAAGTTTTCAAAATCGTAAGCGAACACTTTCATGATGTTTCATGATGTGTCAGTACCCTTACATTTTTATATTTTTAAATGCTTATCTAAAAGTAGAAAAATGAGATAAAACTTAAAGATATTTGGGATTAATAACCAGAAAATTATTTTTCTTAAAATGAATATATTAAAAATAGAAGGAATATTAGAATTAAATTATGCACATATTTATGCCCAAAATATTGATATGTATCGGATTTCTGCGTTTATAAGAGATCTATTTCTTTTTGTCTTGTATAACTTACCTGCCATCCACAGCATCTATAATTTCCACTCGAATGTTTTTCTTCGAAAAGTCTCTGCATCCTTCTACGTCTCTCTGGTCTTCTTAATAGATTTATCATATAAATGTGATCCACACCCAGGGTGTCTTTCTCCGGATATATCACAAATTCTTTTAAATCATCCAACAACGGCAAATAATCGCTAAATGCTGTACAAAACAAAATTTATATCAATCAATACTGTCAACAGGATAATATTATATTGTAATATTACATTGTAATATTCCTAATTAAATATTATATCACATTGGATATTATATCACATAAATTTATTCTTGTTCATTTACAATTACTTATTTATTTTATTCATTTATATAACGTACATACGGTAGAGAGCGTCAAAGATCGGTGATCTTTCTAGCTGAGGTAATATTTTTCGCAATAAGTTCTTTACAAAATTAATTTAGGGGAGATTATTTCATATACATATAGGATGATAATGTTCGAATGTTTCGGCTCCTCATATTTATATTATTAGTGTCTCAGATCGATTGTGGTTAATGTCCGAACGTACAGTCACATCTGAGATGATTAAAATTTAAATTAAAAATATATATTGTATTCGGATCATAACATCTAACTTTGACCGATCTTTGGCATTCTCTACCATATGTAGGTCCATGGTGGAATTAGAAAGGGTGCGTTCCACTTGACGCTCGCATCACCCAATTCGCTCATTGTGCCGTTCCACTTGGCGCTCACAACGTTCATCGAGTGCCATAATGACTAACTTCAGACGATTGAAATGAACGCTCGCAACGCTTGCACTGAAGAGGTGGATCGGCGTGAGCGTTGTGGGCGTATGACGTCACAAATCTAACGTGCCATTTTGATTGCATATTTTGTTAACGGTTGCTCGATAATTGCTTATTAAAAATGGAAAAAGTTACGTTATACGATTCTGAAATTGATAAAATGTATGATATTTTATTATCCGCCAACGATGCACGACGTGCTGCTTCAGGTAATAAACATTAATCGTGAAATATTGACTGCCATTTTGATAACGCTCACAAATCACTTCTAGTTCATTCCACTTGCTGGCACACTCATGCTAGTGGAACGAGTGATCGCGGCGTAGAGAGCGTGAACATTGTGAGCGTCAAGTGGAACGCACCCAAAGATGAACCAACGTGCATAATGGCGGAGGACCCGTCACATAATCTGAGATCTCGACCAATCCGAAATTGAGCTTTTTTGCAGCGTGAACGAGTCATGTACATCTCTGCAAATTAGCTCAAAACTTGATTGGCTGACAGATCCCCATACTACTTTCAACCTACTGCGCATCCATCACCTTGGTTCACCTTTCTAATTCCACCGTGGGTAGGTCAACTACTGAGGCAGTTATTAAGTTGAGGATAAGGATACTTCTAGGCAAAAGAATCAATTTTTTGAATCGACCTGAATCGCAACCGCGAGTATCGATTCACCAAAAAATTGAATGTCAAAAAATCGATTCGGAAAAGATCGATCTAAAAAATCTAAACTAATTGCAAATTGCATATTATAGCCCTTTTCGTAAAAAAACCGATTCCAATGCATATGGTCGGTCACAGAAAGATTGCAACATTTTTTTTCGATATCTTTCGAAACTCAGCCTTGCTCGTAAAGTGGTTGAATGTAAATGAGTGGATCTATAAGTAAGAACTAATCACTCGATGAACAAGCTGTATTCCGAAATTCATGGAAAAAAAGTGTTACAATCTTTCTGTGACCACCTATACACGGAAGATCGGTCTCGGGTATTAAGAATTGATTCGTCGATTTAATTGGAGCTTAAGAATTGATCTAAAAAATCGAGAATCGAAGGTAAAAGAATCGATTTTCTAAAAAATCGATCTTGAATCGAACATCCGTAGTTGAGGGATATTGCAACAGGAGCAATAGCTAGGAAAAAAGTACTGATCGCGGTTAGTATTGACATATCAAATGCCTTCAACTCCATTAAGTGGTCAGAGATAATCAGGGCGTTTGATGAGCTTGGAATTTCATCATATTTAAAGAGAATTATTAAGGCATATTTGTGTGACAGAAAATTGATTTATGCCAATAAAAATGGGGAGATACTAGAGTCATCTATCACGCGCGGAGTATCGCAGGGTTCAGTGTTAGGGCCACTACTTTGGAATATGACGTATAACTGCGTCTTAAATGCTGACCTTGATGACGGTTGTTCAGTAATATGCTATGCGGATGACACGCTTGTTATTGCAGAAGGAGATACAATGATCGATACATTGTCTAGGCAGAGAAATGTTGCGATTGTAGTCAATAAGATACAGGAGATAGGTCTTGAAGTGTCATCGAGTAAAACTGAGGCAGTGACCTTTTATGGCAGGGATATAGCAATTGGAGATAGAAATATAAATGTATTGGGGGAATTAATTCAAGTAAAAAGAAGCATGAGGTACTTTGGGATTGTAGTGGACTCAAAATGGTCATACATGACCATTTTGATGGGAACATTTTAGTATAATAAGTCATAAGGCAGAGGTTCTTGTAGCGACTTTGAGTGGGATTCTACCAAACTTGGGAGGCGAGACGCAGACTCTACAGAAACATTGTATTATCGGTCATAATGTATGGGGTACCCCTTTGGGGAGAGAGGATTCTAAATAATAAGGAAGATCTATAGAAAAATAGGTGCAATGTTTAGAATAGTTGCGATAAGGATTATTGCGGCTTCGAAATGATTATCAGGAGGTATCTCTTGATCTCAGAAAAGATCAGAGACTTTAAAGAGAGAGGAGTGTCAATTTGGGAAAGAAATCTAATTAGAGAACAGGCCATGGAATGTGAAATGACTGAATGATCAGAGAGGCTACATTATCCCGGTCTTTATGGTGAAAGAGTGAGAAATGTGATTGGTCCGGTAATAAACGAGTGGTTCGAGAGGAGACATGGAAAGCTGACTTTCTATGTTATGCCTGGTTTATGCTTCGGTCTTAATCCTAAAATCCTAAAATTTAGCCAATGGAATACAGATTTCAGTTAGAACCAGTTAAAACTGGCAGCCCTATTGGCTGAATTTTAGGATTTTAGAGTTAAGACCGAAGCATAAACCAGGCATTACTCAACTCATAACGGGTCATGGTTGTTTTGGAAAATTTTTGTGTAGAATTAAAAAAGTGAATACCAATAGGTGCTTCCATTGTGCAAATGAATGTGATGACGCAGACCACACATTGATAAGCTGTGCCGCTTGGTCAACGGAGAGGATGACCCTTTCTAAGAGGATAGAGGAAGAACTGAGTTTAAGATCGGTGATAGATCTGATCCTAAAGAATCAAGAAAACTGGGACGTGATTGCCACCTTTGCGCACATCATGAAACAAAAAGAAGAGGCTGAAAGAAGAAGGCAGACTGTTGGTTTAGACCACGAACCGATGCCGCCACCCGGTTGGATGGATTTGGATTCGTAATATTGACAACATCAGTTATACTATTATAATTTAAGATCCATACCAGATGCCCGTAATAAATGGCACATTCACTGGCGTGCAGGTTAGACCATCATACAACAGTATCAACAACGGTGTGACCAATGGGGGTGCCCGAGAAGAATGCCATACGGTGATACCAGGGCATCCCCTGTTAAGGTCGAGGAAGGGTACAGAGGAGGTTTTAATGGATAGGCGACCCGTGAAAGTATAACCCATACTTAGGTGTGCGCGGATCGAATCCCACACTCCCCCGGTTAGGTCTACCGGGGGGTCTTTGAAGATTTCCTCCTCTTCAACAAAAAAAAAACCGTATGTATGTTGTACATTTACTCGGTCAGATCTTACTTCATATTTGTTATTTATTTATATTATGCTCTTAAGCAAGCTTACCTAACATTTCCACTTTGGTATTAGTCAACCGTTGCATATCTTCCGTGATAGTCTCATCATTCTCCAAAGGTACCATAACAAAACCATAAACATCGTCGTTACACACGAACAATGACACATCTATGACATAAATGATAAATATTATTTAAACATTATTATATAAACATTATTTACATAATGTATAACATTATATAAATATCGTATAAACATTATTTATATAATATAATGTATTATATAAACATATATAAACATTATTTAAAGTAAAAATTTTTAACAGAGTCAAAATCAAATCTAATTCCTTATAGAATTCAAAGTTAAGTCAAAAGTAGTAAAAGCAGAATATAGAGTAATAATTTTAAAAAAGCAGCACTTAATCGGTCCAAATCTCGTACTATTATTTATATAGACGATAACTTTTAATATTTACCTGATTTATTTGCTCCTATGGCAAAAGTTATGATATCATCCATTGGTCCATCATAACCGGTCAACTTTTCGACCTTATAAGTAAGATAATCGGAATAGCGTCTTCTCAGATCTATGAATACTGCGCTATGGATCATGGGCACGTTATGGCAACCAATGTTCTCGCGAAATAGGATCGGCTCGTAGAGCTCTGTTCGCAAATAATAATGTTCCGCTGTCATACCGGCCCAAAAATTACTGTACATGCCATCCGATCTTAATAAAGGCGCAACAACAGTATGTCCCTTATGTATAAAATCATGAATAGTGCTTGGATTGGTCAAAAAAACGTCGGCATCCAGCATCTGCACATACAAGTGTTCTTTTCTTTCATTTTTGTTCTTTTTTTCTTATGTTTCTGCAAATATCTGTACATGTATCAGACAAAAAAGTGACGTGATTCCCTATAATGCATACTGCTACTATAATTTTTTTTATTATTAGTATTCTTGGAACTTGTCTGAAATCATTCACTGACAAATATTGTCTTATATCTTTATATAATTTTAAACTTTTTTATTACACCATCTACGGTATAATTTAAGATAGAAAATAGTTCCCACATAGCAATGTATTTCCTTAGGATATCCTAATTTGATCAGATTACTCCTATTCTGATCCAAAATATTAAATCGTTCATATGATTAGCTCAGGACATTTATAATTATCATTGTACTAATATAAAACGTCCCTAAGATATCCTATTTTGATTCGAAAAAATTTTGATCACTAAATTGATAAATTGCATTTTTCAACTTTCGACACATATGTGTCATATACATTTACGTATATTATATATACGTATATTATATATTAGGTGCGCAACTAAGTTCTCGCTGTTATTTTGATGAAAATGCAACTTGATTGTGAAAAAATGGTTACAAATGAATCATTGAAAGTATTGCCCATCGCTAGCTACTACTTTTTCCCATCTTTCTGGCAGAGCTCGAATACCGTTACGGTAAAACTGTTCATCTTTTGAGACTATCCACGAATCAAGCCATTTTTTGATGTCTTCATATGAGTCGAACTGCTGGTCAGCCAGACCATGTGCCATTGAACGGAACAAGTGATAATCGGACGGCGCAATATCTGGAGAATATGGCGGGTGGGGTAGGACTTCCCATTTCAGCGTTTGCAGATAGGTTTTAACGGGTTTTGCAACGTGAGGCCGAGCGTTGTCATGCTGTAGAATCACTTTTTCGTGCCTCTCCGCGTATTGTGGCCGTTTTTCGCACAGTGCTCGGCTCAATCGCATCAATTGAAGTCGATACCGTTCCCCAGTGATGGTTTCGTTCGGTTTCAGCGTCTTCGAAGGTTTTTGGCCTTCCTTCACGCGGACGGTCGTCAACATCGAAATCACCGTCTTTGAAGCGACGGAACCAATCTCGGCACGTTGTTTCACTTAGAGCAGCATCTCCGTAAACTTTTTGGAGCTCTCGATGCGCTTCAGCCGCCGTTTTCTTCGAATGAAAGAAGAAAATCAATACTTCCCGCATATGACGATTATTTGGCACAAAATCAGACATTTTCACACAACCAAAAGAATATAACGTCAAAACAAAATCACTAATTTTAATGTCGAAGCGGTTTGTTTACCATATGTCTAAGCTTGGTTCATGACGTTTAGATTATGTCAGAATCGACCAGCACTTACTGCTGGAACCATCTATTGACAAACAGCGGGAACTTAGTTGCGCACCTAATAT